TGTGTGTGTGTGTGTGTGTGTGCATGTTTGTGTGTGTGCATGTGTGTGTGTATGTGTGTGTGCACGTGTATGTGTGTGTATGTGTGTACGTGATAAAACACCAAACTGTGGCAGGATCTGGACAATAAAGATGTATCTTATCTTATCTATTTTATCTGATCTTATCTATTTTATCTTATCTTATCCTATGTTACACCACAGGCGCCCGACTCACAGGCTATTGGATTTGAACCTGAATCGTGAACAACGGGAAGGTCAGAGGACGCAGCGCCCTTTTCAGTCTGGCTACATCAACCTTACTGGACTATCATGTATAGGGCCTGGAGTCTGGGGTTCATGACGGATTGATCTTTTAACACGATGAGTTCTAAAACAATATGCAGACAGGATAAAAAAAAAAACACTCTAAGAATTGCAGTCACACAAATGATTTTTGGCCTCTTAAATGTCTTATTATAAGACCAAAGTGGTGAATTGCTGCTTACACTTTGGCTTAACTATTTGGAGTGAAGGAAATGCACCCCCCCCTGTTCAGTTTTGTTCAATTCTTGGAGATTAATAGAACCCAGTGAAACCAAACATACGTTTATGATACTAATTGCTGTCTAGAAATGTCTTGACTTTTAAAAGAAATTCTTCTATGAGCCAAAATTACACCACAAGACAATTATCGCCTCTGTGGTTTTGTTAAAGAATCCTCAATCGACTGATGCCAACACTCTTGTAGTAAGACCCCATCATTATGTCTACAAGGCTCAGTAGAGATTGGAGCAGAAACAATGGGAATCAATGTCTGAGAAGGATAAAGACAAGAAGGGGATGGGGGTGAGGAGAAAAATGGGATAAGAAAGAACAGCAGGGGAGAAAGGAAAAGCAATATTAGCGAATGCTAGGAATAGCGCAGAAGTAAGTGATCTCATAGAAGGTGAAATAAAAGCCCTTCACATGCACCAAATACAGACGAATGCCTCGTTTGACAAGGTAGGTTAGAATTTGTCTCAGCCGAATATTACCAGTATTAATTAACGAATAACTGTTCCCGGAATGCGTGATTTAGAGGGGGGGGGGGGCAAAACAACGGAACGCCCCCACCCCTAGGTGTTTAGTGTTGTATAACCTTCACTGTAGGACTCACCACCGTTCCCGCCGTTGCCCTTATTGGAGTAGCCCTGCAAGGAGTTCTTGTCGTTGGTGGTGCTGGGCCGGCGGTCCCCGATGACCAGTCCAGGCTCCATGGGGCCCATGGACACCCTCCGTACTGTCGTGGTGGCCCTGGTCGTGGTGGTCGGGGGAGGTTTCACTTCTGGATTAATAAGAACATTGTCAAAAAATTATTAAAGTTTGGTTTTAGTTTTAGTAAGAGTGTTACGGCACTCGCAACACAATACGGTCATATAAGTGCCGACGATTAGAGGGGTTGCAAGAGAGT